ATAACTGTGAGGCTAAGGTAATTGACATTAGTATTAATAATAATAATAATTCTGTTCTTCAAATAAGCATCACATAAACTAGTCTCTGCTAAGAAAATGTGTGTTACTGTAAAATTATTATGATCGTATTTAAACATTTGCAGGGTCAATATACTGAAACTGATGTGACGTCGGAAGCTCGGGCCATAGTGAAATTTGTTAAGGATAAGTGTGATGGAACTGGGCCCAAATTCAACTTCTCTCTTCTGCACATGGTAGATGTGTTCAAGGGAAGTAAAGCGAAAAAAATAGTTGATGCAGGTAAGCAAGTATTTTCATTACAACCAGCCTCATTTCCTTCATCAATTACCTTTTTAATTGCTGTTCATGTTCTCTTATTTTGCCAGAACACAATTTACATCCTATGCATGGCTTGGGTAAAAAATGGATGAAAAATGATATTGAGAGACTGTTCCGCAAGTTGGTTATTGAAAATTATCTGAAGGAAAGCCTTCATACCAACCATCTAGACATGACCAATGCATATTTGAAGGTTGGATCGAAAGCTGGCTTGCTATCTGTTCAAAACTTCAAGGTACCTTCTATAATTTGTCAACTTGTGCAATTAGAGATATTGTTCACAGAGGTTCATACATATTTTCTGCTTCTTCCAGATGATGTTCCCAATAAGTGGCCCTGGTAGTAAGTCTGTTTCTAAAGTGGTAGAAACAAATAATGATCAATCTGATAAGGAAATGGAGGAAATTCTCAGCCAGTGCTACACTGAACTATCTGAGAAAGTCCAGGCTATGGCAGATTCTATGGGTGTCAGCTCTGCTTCAATTATGAACATTGAGGTGATGATTCTCCGTGATGTTTTAAAACTGTTGAAACTTTTGTCCTTGTACTGACAATACCCCTTATATTTTTTTGACAGGCTGTGCGCACTATGGCTCTAAAACTGCCTGAAAACGAAGAAGAGATGCTCAAAATACCTCACGTTACAAAAGCTAATTTTGCGAAGTATGGTGATGCCTCATTGAAGGTCACCCAAGAGTATGCTAGCAGAAGGAATGGTATGTTACCACATTTATTGTCAATACAAAGTGTGCCCTTAAAAATATATTGTTGTTCATAATTTTAAAAAAATAATTGTCAGCACTGATGGCTAATCGGGAACAAGATTCTATAATAGAAACCTTTGCAAATGGCATTGAAGACTGGGATGATGATTTTGGGGGGGACAGCAATGACAATAAACAGGAGTCACCCTACTTTACATCACCAAGTGGAAGTAAACGAGGAGGATTTAAAAGAAAAGGTGGTGATTCTGAAGGCAAGAAAACGTGCAAGAAGAGGTTAGGATTATTATATAAGTACCGAAGTACCGTATTATACTGTGACATTTGTACTGTACAGTTCATAACATTCATGCCCTATTGGTTACAGCCGTGGCAGTAGCTTGAGTAAGGCATCCTCAAGTAGTCGTGGTTCATCTTCAGGCCGAAGAGGTGGAAAGAAAGCTGATACCAGCTCACGGCTAGGTATAATGCCGTACCCCAAGCCCCGTTCTCTTGTGTTTCAATCCTCGATTTTAATTTAAATCTAACTAATTTTATGTGATGAAAATCATCAGGGTATATGATTACTAAGTTTCATTTTTTTTCCCCTCTTGAACAATGGTGTTAAATATAATTACAGCAATAATTTACTTTCATCCTAATCTAACAGAGATTGCAAAGCAACAAATTACCTGTGTTGTCTATATGTAGTATTGTCTAAATGTGATATTTATTTTAATTTATCTTTCTACCTGTAATACTATTTTAAATATATTCGCACCAATTGGTGCGCTTTTCGGCTGAGCCAATTTAATGGGGCGGTAGGTTCTTCATTCGAAACGAGCTTCATTTCAACCCCGAAAATAGCCCTTCGTCGGATGAAGCCCCGGAGGGAATTTCCCAAAAATTTCTAGGAAATTCAAAATTAAATAGGA